TTCTTGGGAAATGTCGGTGGGACCAGGGAGGTACTGACCTTCTACACCATTCATCTGCATTGTGACAGAGTGTCAGTGTGCGGTTTTGGTGGGATGTTGTTAACAGGGCTGAATGGAAAGCTAAACATACACACTCAGTCCTCACACTACACAGGGGGTCTTCCTGCTAAAAAAAAAAAAAAAAAATTCGGAGTCTCATAATATCCAAAATACCTAGGTATACAAAGAACTAGGACAATCACAACATGAAAGAGAAAGATAGTCAACAAAGGACAACTTTAAGATGATTCAGATTTGAGAACTGTCTGACAAAGATTTTAAAGCGACCATCATAACAGTGCTTCAGCAACAAAATTGAATTCTCTTTAAACAAATGAGAACCTAGGAAATCTTAGCAAAAAATGTTATAATAAAGGATGGAAATTATAAAACTGAAAAATACAATAACTGAAAATCTTGCTGGATATAATCACTAATAAATTAAAGATGACAGAGGATTGAACCAGTGAATTTGAAGACAGATCAAAAGACATTACCTAATCTGAACAGCAGAGAGGAGATAAGACTAGGGAAAAGATTTAAAAAAAAAAAAAAGGGACAGAGTCTCAGTGACCTGTGGGACAATCATAAAAGTTAAAATTCTTACTAGAATCTCAGGAGGAGAGAAGAGAGATGGGGCGGGGTGGTTATTAAAAGAAATGAGGTGAAATACATAAATTTACAAAATCAAGAAGCTGAGTGAATCCCAAATAGTATAAACCCAAAGAAGTCCATTCCAAGTCACATAACTAAACAGAAAGCTAAAGACAAAAAATCTTGAAAGAACCAGAGAAAAAGAAAACATGTGGGAACACAAATTCACATGACATCGAATTTCTCATCTGAGACCATGGAGGCCAGAAGGAATGGCACATTATTTAAGTACTGGAAGAAAAAACCTAAAAGAAAACAACAGAAAACAAGAATCTTGAATCCTATATCCAGCAAAAGTGTCCTTTAGAAAGAAGGAAATAAAGATGAGTCTCAGACAGGAAAAGGATAAGAATCTGTTGCTACCAAAGCTACCATTAAAGAATGGCTAAAAGAGGAGCGTCTGTCTTCGGCTCAGGCTCTGATCCCAGGGTCCTGGGATCGAGTCCCACATCAGGCTTCCTGGTCAGCGGGAAGCCTGCTTCTCTCTCTCCCACTCCCCCTGCTTGTGTTCGCTCTCTCGCTGTCTCTCTCTCTATCAAATAAATAAATAAAATCTTTAAAAGTAGAAAGGCTAAAAGGAAGATCTGTAAACATAAAGGAAATGATAATAGAAGCTTGGAACTTCAGAAAGGAAAGAACATCAGAATGAGTAAAGGGGGGGGTAAATAATAAGAGTCCATCCTGTTTCTCATTAATTTCTTAAATCATACTTGATGCTTGAATCAAAAATTATAATACCATCTCTTGTGGAGTTTAACATGTAGAGGAAATACAATTATATTTTAAAAGTGTAGAGGGTAAAGGGACCTATGTGAAAGTAGGGAAAATATCAATACCAGTAGACTATACATATTGTAATACCAAGTGCAACCACTAAGAAAGCTAAAGAGAGAGAAAGAGATACATTCGAATGCACTATAAATAAGTCAAGATGTAATCCTAAAAAATGTTCAAATAACCCACAAGACTGTAAGAAAAGAAAAACAGGAAACAAAAAAATAATGGCAAACTTAAGTCCTAACATCAATAATTACCTTACATGTAAATGGTTTAAATATATCAATTAAAAGACACTGGCAGAGCAGATTTCAAAAACAAAACAAAACTGTAATCCAACAATATGTTATTTACAAGAAACTTCAGTTTCATCAACATAGGTTGAAAATAAAAGGATGGTAAAATGTATACAATGTAAAAACATTTAAAAGGCAGGAATGGTTGTATTAATAACAGATAAAATGGACTTCAGAGCAAAAAACTACTGGAGACAAAGAGGGACGTTACATAATGATGACAGGATCAATCCACCAAGAAGACATAACAACCTAAAAGTGTATGTACCCAACAACAGAGCCTCAAAATATATGAAGCAAAACCTGATAGAACTATAAGGAGAAATAGAAAAACCTGCAGTTATAGTTGGTAATTTCAGCACTGTATTCTCAGTAATTTATAAAACTACTAGATAGAAAATCAGCAAAGATACAGAATTTCTGCAATCCATCAACCAACAGAATTTAATCAATATTTATAGGACATGTCACCAGATAACAGCAGAATACACATGCTTTCAAGTGGCCATAGAAAACCATGATAGAACATATCCTGGCCCATAAAACCAACAAATTTAAAAGCAATGAAAGCATGCAAAGCATATACTCAGATCAAAATGGAGTCAAACTAGAAATCAATACCAGAAAGATAACAGGAATATCTCCAAACTACACAGCACTTCTAATTAATCCATGGGTCAAAAAAGAGATTTGAAGGGAAATAAAAATGTTGAACTGAATTAACATTAAAATACAATGTATCAAAATTTGTGGGACACAGCTAAAGTAGTTCTTTGAAGATTTATAGCACTAACTGTACACATTTGAAAAGAGTTGAAAAATTCTCAATCTAATCTAAGCTCCCTCCTCAAGAATCCAGAGGAAAAAAAGCAAAATAATCTAAAAGAAGCAGATGGAATTAATAAAGGTTAGAAGTAATGAAATTGCAAACAGAAAAACAATGAAGAAAATCCATAAAACAGAGCTGTTTCTTTGAAAATATTAATAAAATTGACAGACCTCTACCAAAACAAACAAAAAGGAGATACATATACCACCTGATGGTATGAAATGAAATGAAAGAGTGATAACACAGCAGACTCTGCAGATAGAGAATTATGCTGAGTGAAAAAAGTCAATCCCCAAAGCTTATATACCATATGATTTCATTCCTATAACATTCTTGAGATGGCAAAATTTCAAAAATTTTAACATGACAAAATCATAAAAATGGAAAACAGATTAGTGATCCAAGGTTAGGAGGAGGAAATGGGAATGGGAGCAAAATGAGGTATTGTGATAAAACTGGTCAGTGTCTTGACTGTATCATTATCAACATCCTGGTTAATATATTATAGTTCTATAAGACATTAACATTGAGGGAACATGAGCAAAGGGTACATGGGATCTCTCTGTATTATTTCTTATACCTGCATATGAATCTATGATTATCTCAAAAGTTTAATGTTTTGTGTGTGTGTGTGTTTTGTTTTTTTTAAGTAAAGTTAATCCTTCAACATGGGTTTGAACTATGTGGGTCTGCTTATATGTAGATTTTTTGGATAAATATAGTACCATAAATGTATTTTTCTTTTATGATCTTAGTAATATTTTCTTTCACTTCGTTGTAAGAATACAGTATATAATACATAAAATAGACAAAACATATATTATTTGACTATATTATCAGTAAGGTTTCTTTCTGGTCAACAGTAAGCTATTAGTAGTTAAGCTTTTGGGGAATCAAAAGTTATATACAGATTTTCATCTGCATTTGCTGGAGGTAAGCATCAGTGTCCCTAACCCCTATGTTGTTCAACGCCAACTGTACATATAAATAACTGTCAAATGGCGCCATACTTAATAGGGATTTTGTAGGGTAAAAAGAGTACTGATGATTGTTGTGGCAAGGAAGAACTTCGATGAACACAATATTGAACCTTGCCTATGTAGGTTGAGATTGGAAAAAACACAGGGCATTTAGGCTGAGAGGAAACATGAGCAAGCATGGTGTGTGTTCTCATACAGCTTTTAAGCCTTTGTTCAATTCACTTGAACATGTCTCAAGAGTATATGATAAAAATGTAAATATTTTTAAATTGTAAAATGTTGATTTCTTTTACTTTATGGTGTTTATTAGGAAGCAGAAAAAAATTTTTTTTTCTTTGGCCTAGTTCAATGTCAGTCCTACAGTAAATGTTCAGTAAATGTTTGCCAATGATAATTGAAGAATTAACAAAGAAGATTTATATAATAGCAACATATTCTGAACAAATTACAATAAGCACTTAATAAATGTAAACTACTGTCAATAAAATTCATATAATAAACTTGGTAGCCAGCCAGAGTAAGCTTGAGAACTTAGATCTTTCAGAAAAGAATGTCTAATCCTATCCTCATGTTATTCAAGAGAAAAATAAGACTAAGGAGTTGTGACTGCCTGAACATATATAGCTGTTTCCTACCCAAGCTGGATGATAAGAACTATGCCTACCTTATCCTCTGTTATTTAAGAATCCAGGCCTTCTGAATTCCCCACCGCCTCTTCAGCTCTTTATTTCCCACTCAAAACTATAGCCAGGTAAAATATTAAAGTAATGGAAGCATTCAAAGGAAAGGAGGATGTCAATTTAAAAAGTCTTACTACCTCCTTTTCAAATCTCTCTACATACTCCTGCATACCATAGTAACAAAGCTCGTCTTTCTTCTTTACTTGAGAACATGATCTCTTTTGTGTAGAAACAGACCTGTTTCTTTTCATTGCATTTTCAGTTCAATAAAACATTGATGAACAGACACTTCTCCAAAGAAGATATACAAACGGCTAACAGACACATGAAAAAAATGTTCATCATCATTAGCCATCAGGGAAATTCAAATCAAAACCACATTGAGATACCACCTTCCATCAGTTAGAATGGCAAAAATTGATAAGGCAAGAAACAACAAATGTTGGAGAGGTTGTGGAGAAAAGGGAACCCTCTTACACTGTTGGTGGGAATGCAAGTTGGTACAGCCACTTTGGAAAACAGTGTGGAAGTGCCTCAAAAAATTAAAAATAGAGCAACCCTATGACCCAAGAATTGCACTCTTGGGTATTTACCCCAAAGATACAGATGTAGTGAAAAGAAGGGCCATATGCACCCCAATGTTCATAGCAGCAATATACGCAATAGCCAAACTGTGGAAAGAGCCGAAATGCCCTTCAACAGACAAATGGATAAAGATGTGGTGGTATTTTTTTTTGGCTCCAAGGTTCACTGGGGTTTATTAAGGAGTGAAGAGGGAGGCCAGGAGTCCCCCAGCCACCCACGTTGCTCCTGGCATGTGAGAATCCCGCCTGGCTTCCTCTGTTTTGGACAGAGGCTGGCCATACAGGCAGGAGCTTCGAGGGGAGTGGGTAGGAGTTGGGAGTTGGGGGGATGTGCCTTCTGGCAGTCTCCCTCAGAGGATGATCTGGTTGGTGAAGCTGCGGCTCAATTCCTTGTGTGGCAGAACAATCAAATTCAGGATGAGCACCTCAGCAGGGATCCGGACACGGCAGCCTAGGATGGTGATGGCAGGCAGCAGCTTCCCATCCTTGAAGAGGCTCTCACTGTCCATGTGCGCTCAGGGGTTGTTGGGATTGGGGTCATTGGGGGTACCCTGCACACGGGCCCAGTGCCCCACAGTGCTCCCCCAGCCCACAATGGTGTGCAGAACACATGTGTGCTCCTGCAGTGTGGCCCCATGGAGGACGATGCTCTCGTGGAGCCGCACACCCTCGCCCACGGTCACCCCCCTCCCCAATGGAGACGTTGGGGCCCAGCACCGCCGACGGGACCACCTTAGCTGTGGGGTGGATGTAAACATTTCCTCGGATTTGTGGACCCCCGGGGGCATGCTTGGCCAGGCGTTCTGGGTGAGTGAGCTGGTACTGGCCCAGGTAGAGGCGGGAGGCATAGAGAGCTGAGCCTGCAGACTTGATCTGGCTCCAGATACCATCAGTGAGGTGGACGTAGATCTGGCCCTGCCCGGCCAGGACGGAGAACACATCCTGCTCCAGGCGGATGGTTCCTGCTCCTGGCCACAGGCCTGAAGAGTCCTCCAGTTGCCCATCCTGCTGGTTTTGCTGGAAGACATCCCGAAGGGGCTTCAGGGCTTCCAGGGAAAAGAGGTAGATGCCACAGTTGATGACGTCACTAACAGAGGTGCTAGGTTTCTCCACATAGTGCAGGACCTCGTGTGTCTGTGGGTTCTCTACAATGCAGCCGTAGTTGAGGGACTGTGGAATATTACTCAGCCATCAAAAAGGATGAATACCCAACTTTTACGTCAACATGGATGGGACTGGAGATGATGCTAAGTGAAATAAGTCAAGCAGAGAAAGTCAATTATCACATGGTTTCACTTATTTGTGGAACATAAGGAATAGCATGGAGGACATTAGGAGAAGGAAGGGAAAAGTGAAGGGGGGGAAATTGGAGGGTAGATGAACCATGAGAGACTGTGGACTCTGAGAAACAAACAGGATTTTAGAGGGGAGGGGGGTGGGGATATGGGTTAGCCCCATGATGGGTATTAAGGAGGGTACATATTGCATGGAGTACTGGGTGTTATACGAAAACAATGAATCATGGATCACTACATCAAAAACTAATGATGTATGGTGAACCTAACATAACAAAATTTAAAAAAAAATCCGTTTTAAATCTAAAAAAAAAAAAAACACTGATTGTCTCTATAGCTTCTAAGAAGCTTGGAGTAGAGGTGAGTGGGTAATCTCTGAAATCTAATAGTAAGCAATCTAGCCAACATTTAAAGTCATTGTTTTAAGGTTATCATTCCAATAATTTATATTAACTCAAATCCCTGTGTATCCCAAGTGTCTGAACATAGCAGAACTTAAAGAGAAATGTGCTTTTGCTGTAAACTTCTTCATGTTATAGCAAATTAATGGGTCAGTGTAAAAACTTAGTTGTGAGGAGATATATAGCAGCACAAGGAAGGAACATCAGAAATGGTTTGTGAACATATATCAAAGAAAAAGTATTACTTTGCACTTCTCTCAGTAGCTTTTTGCATATTAATTTTTAAACCAATCACAGGTTATGTTTTCTGATTTATATAAAGTTTTTAACCAGTCTTCCCATGATTAGGTCATGTCAGTGACTCCCCAGTTATAATTTACTATTTTAATTAAAATTCTTAATTGCACACAGCCTCATTACTTCTATATTTAATATCTGATTTCTTTCAGACCTTAACCCTTTAATAGTTTATATGACTTGATATAATAACTTTGTAAGAAAAGTTTTAAAGTTCTCAATCCTACCACAGGCCTAGGAAATCAGAACATACCATCTGTGTTTTCTTGTGGGTAAAGTACAAAGGACTAAAGACATTTTTGTGAGTCTTTGAACTGGGGATACAAGTTCTCTTTGGCTTCTAATTGATGGGGTTAGAACTTAGTACTTACCTTCTTGGGGAAGTCAGTAAATCAGACATCAGAAAAAAAAAAAAAGATAAATTCCAGAAGGACTAGGTATAGGAGACTAATTATTTTCAGGCTCAATATTTGTGGCCCCAAATGGTCATACTTAGTCCCTCCTCAGCTACAAGGGGAGCTGTTCTGACTGTATTAATGACAAATAATTTCTAATATTTATCACTTTTATCTTTCCTTAGATTACAGCGTCAGAGCCATGCTAAAGATAATGAAATCAAGAATCTTAAAGAGCAACTTTCCATGAAAAGGTACAAACTTAGCTATTGTTTTGGTTGAGTATACATCTCTAAAACTCTAGGTATATTCATTAAGCATGTTCTGGCCAGGGTAGGCATATAATTTATTATCCAAACTGGGATACTTTTGAGCATGAAATTGAGCATTAATAATTAGACTGGGATAACAGTTACAAACTGGAATTGTCCTAGGCAAATTGGTGGGAGGGTATGTTCACTTTAACTCTGGCCCTAGAAAACTGCTGGGAGAGATTAGATCAGCAAAGTTATGGTCCCACAACAAGCTAGGCAGGGACCATAGCTTATGTGTTCTTATCTCTTTGCCCTAATCAGTACTGCTAAGTGTGACTGATTTATGAAATTGGCTGAGTTTTATTCTGATTCACATATTTTTGCCTGTCGGTAATTTTTTAATAACTTTTTTTGAGATCTAATTCATATAGCATAAAACTCAGTGTGTTAAATTATACAATTCATTGGCTTTTAGGATATTCACAGAGGTATACAACCATCACCTCTGTCTGATTCCAGAACATTTTTATCACCCTAAAGAAATCCTGGTTCCATTAGAAGGCATTCCTCATTCTCCCCTCCCCTAGCTTCTGGCAATCATTGATTTATTATTTGTCCCAGTGGATTTGCTTATTCCAGACATTTCATATAAATGTAATCACATAAGTACCCTCTTGTGATTAACTTCTTACTATACTATATGTCCATATTGTAGCATATCTCAGTATGCATTCCTTTTTGTAGGTAAATAATATTCCATTGTATAAATACACCACAATTTATCTTTTCATCAGTTGATGGACATTTGATTTGTTTCCATTTTTTCACTATTATGAATAATGCTATTATGAACATTTGTAAGCATATTTTTGTATGAGCATAAAGTTTTCAGTTCTCTTGAGTATATACCTAAGCGTGGGATTGCTGAGACATGCAGTAAACTCTGTTTAACTTTTTGAGGAACTACCAAACTTTTCCAAGTGACTGCGCATCTTACAGTCCCACCAGCAATGGAGGTGGGTTCTGATTTCTCCACATCCTCACAAATACTTGTTGGATTACCTGTTTTTATTTTATCCATTGTAGTGGATGTGAAATAGTAGATCATTGTGGTTTTGATTTGCATTTTCCTAATGATTTATTATGTTGAACATCTTTTTGAGTACTTATTGGCTATTTGTGTATCTCCTTGGAGAAATGTCTATTCAAATCCTTTGGCCATTTTTTAAATTGGGTTCTTTGTCTTCTGTTGAGTTTTCAGAGTTCTATGCATGTGGATACAAGTCCTTTATCAGATACATGATTTGCAAATATTATCTTCTGTTCTGTGGGTTGTCTTTTTACTTTCTTGATGATATCCTTTAAAGCACAGAAGTTTTTAATTTTGATGGAGTCTAATTTATTTTTTTCTCTTGTTCTCATAAGCAATTATGCAACAGTATTCAATGGCATAATAAGTCCTCTTGGTTGAATTAATATATGTCCTTGAATATTTTTTTCCCTCAAGACACTCTGGCCATAGTGGTATTAATAATATATTGTTTTATCAAACTTCTCATCAATGTTTGTCAAGTATGCAAGCATCCAAGTGTTTCTAAGAAAACATTGAGGATAGCTTTTGTACAAGTCCCTATTACAATATTATATTTCCAATCAGTTGTTTCCTTTAAAGACATAATTTGGTTTGTATGCCCTGAAATTTGGGCCTCAGGTGTAGGAAGCTGAAATGGGATAGGAAAAAGAAAGACCTGATAGGTAACCTTTCTCTATAATGTCCTTCATAAATACTGTCCTTATCATCTCCCGCTCTCCTTTTTAAGCTGTAGGATTTGTTTTCATTCTAAGGTATTGAATGTGAGCTGAGATACTGAGATAACCAGTGCAACATTTTAATGCAGTAATTTAGCTTTAATGCAGTGAGGGCAGGGATGATAAAAACCTTTGTAGTTGCTCTTTTGGGGATACAGAAAGGCTTGTAGAAACTTTATGAGAAATTTGATGGTAATAGCTAACATTTGTTTAATACTTAATATGTACTAAACACAAAATGCTTTTATGTATATTATCTGAATGTGTTTTCGCAGCAGCTCTTTGAGGTCAGTAATACAGTGTTCTCCATTTTCACATGTAAAGAAACTAAGGTATAGAAAAGTTAAGGAACTTGCCCAAGGTTTCACATTTATTAAGTTTCAGAACTCAGATTCATCCTCAGACAACTTTATTTCAAAGCCAAGTTTTAAATCCTAGCCCTTACGTTGACAACTTTAAAACTATACTCTTGGTAGTAAAAGATAATAGTAAGGGTTAAGTAATGTCTTCTCTTGTTTTTATATGCTGTAAACTTTTACAAGAAATCATTTCTTACTCACTGAATAGCTTGAATCTTTCTCCCTCCTGAATAAGGTGGAAAAGTCTGTCCTTGCTGCAATGTTGCTGACTCTTTAATGATCATATATTCCAGATCTCAGTGGGAAATGGAGAAGCATAATCTGGAAAGCACAATTAAAACATACTTAAGCAAACTGAATGCAGAAACTAGCAGAGCTTTAACAGCTGAGGTAAAAAAAAAAAGAGAGAAATGGGGTTGGGGAGGGAAGTTTTGCTTGTGTACTAGTATACTAAAGAATTGAAAAAAGACTGTTCTAAATGAACAGAAATAAGTCATCTTAGGACCAGCCAGAAGAACATAGCTTCAACTCTTGTGCTTTTTTGACTCATTGGAATTTTGTACATGATTACTTCAATGTTGATGATCTTATGTTGTTTTTCCCCAAATGACTTCAGGAAATTGGTCTGCTTCAGTATGTATAGCAAATACATACATTTTGGGAAAATTCTCATGAAGCCAGGTCACTAAGCCAAAATTCTAAGAATAACATTTTACTGCGGGAGATAACATCTCCTTTCTTTGTTACTTTCTACATAGATCTTCCCAAAGCACATACACATCATACACTACAATTTCAAAAACCAACTTACTTTCTAGATCCCCAGAATATCATCCAGTTTCTTCTAAGCTAACTTAGAACACCACAGCTAGGGTCTCTTCCAAAAGATACATGATTATCTTTATGTATGTAATTTTTACTTATAGATAACCAAACTTGATATACAGTAAGATTCAAATTTTTAGAGAGCTCACTAACATTAAAAGGATTATATAAACCTTCCCACATCTATCATGGGTAAGCTGTATTCTTGAGCAGAATGCTTGGGAATCCAGAGGTCAATATTCAAGGAATGATACCTGAACCAAAAATCCCTGGAGATTAGTAAAATGCAAGCTATAACTGAAAAACAAAACCCTCAGATTATGTTAAGAGCTCAAGTTTGTATATTTTGTGTCTCACTACTTTCTACTTCCACTATTAATTTTAGAAACACTTAATGCTGTCCAAGAATATACTCTCTTTTCAGCAAATATTGAGTGATTAGTGAGAAAAAACAGGCCAAGTGAGCATGCAACAGTAATGGTGCAGAATAAATTCCTGCTATGGGGAGACAGACTCGATGACCTCCCAAGGCCC